ATCTGAAACTACATTGGTAGTACAGATCAATAACTGGGCTGTAATAACTGAAGATACCATTATAAGTTACACAAACAAAAGTGTAGATGTGTATTTGCTTGGATAAGTGTATGAAAAATATAATCAGACTGTTCAGATAAGATGACAGGAGAAGACAATATATTTTGTTCTGCTACATATTAATGGCAGGTATAATGGTTGGATTTGCATATGGCGGATATTTCTTTCGTACAGTTGACCATGGAATGAAAATATAGTTGTCTCCAATCAGCTGGCTATCTTTTTTCTCTTTTGAAATTTAGGCATGCTCACTGGTAATTTTGAGAACCATAGTCTGGAAGATATATCAGATAAAGCTAAAACAAAAGTAAGGATGATAGTCATCTAACAGGTGGTAAATTGAGAAAAAGTGAGAAATATAGATCTTATTTTGAAATACTTATCCCAGCAGAATATGTTGTAATAAATATCATGAAAATATCGATTTGCAATCAGACATAGGTTTGATGCTATGATAAGAACTTCCTCATGTCACCATTCAACAGCCCTTTCCAGCCTATGCTTACAGGAAACAGGAATTTGAGGTTGCAAATTCCAGAATCATCCCGTGAAGTTCCAACACTCTGGGGGGTCTACCAAGTTAAGAAAGGATATGCTACACCATGAGATGTACTGGTTTGCTAGTAATAAAAGAGTTGATACTAACCCTGTTGATACTATATTCTTTGAACCATTACTTGTGCTGACAGCTTAATTATTTGGACTGTCCATAAACTAAGAATTACAGGTAGACAAACTGGATATTCCTCAGAATCAATATAATGAAAATATATTCTTAAGAACTTAGCATAGTTTTTGTGAGGGAGGTGACAGTTCTCCTTTACTTCCTATCACAGAAAATAAGTTTCAGCATTCTATAATCATCAAATAGGGACATGCGCTTTCTGATGCTAGAATTGTGCATGATATCCTTTGTATAGTCACTTGACTGATGGCTATAACTTCACCTGCCATTCTCTGCAATGATCTACTGCCTAAATAGAGAACACAGTTGTAGTAAAGCTGGAAGAGAGTCAATCTGCCTGAGGCTGCTCAAGGAATCCACAGACACTCAGATGGTCTTTCTATCCAAACAAAATGCCAGGCAGATTGTTCATTTCTTTAAAGACCTTTCTAATGTTACTATTCTCAGGCAACCACGTCTTTATGTTTTGGTTTAAAGTATTAGTTGTGAGGTAATTTATTGGATTTTTAAAAATGGTATTCCACAGTATCTTTTGATGAGTGAATGAGCTGGGCTTGGTGGAGAATTATTGAAACATTTTGTGATTTTGTGAAAATCATGAAAAAAATTATTTAATATTTATAGTAGCCATTAGATTAAATCATAAAATTACAACAGTAAATAAATCTGGGAATATACCTAGTAGACAGTATATAACTATAGTCCAGTTAAAGATTACACTGATATATAAATTTGAAGGAAAACCAGACATCAAGTTAATGAAAACAAGAAAAATATTAATATTGGAGCAATTGATAATTTTCTCTCAACTGCATGGTGGATGTAGGGAGAAGTCATAGCAATACTTCTCTAAAGTTTATTTTATGGTGAGAAATCTTTTCCTTTGATACTTCTGTATCAGAAAAGCTTAATGCCAAAGTAAGATAATGGTTAAACTTTGCATTTAGAATGAAGGGAGAATGATCTAAGTGCCCCTTTAGCTACTAAGATTTCTGAATGCTTTTGAGCAGCCTCTACCTCTTAGCATAATTTATGTGATGATTGGGCATCCAGTGAGTGACAGCATGCACAAATTAAGATCAAGCACATCACTGAAGTTCAGCTAAAGCTTTTGGGTGTTGTGTTGTTATCATACAAACGAAAAAAGTGGTCTTATACTAAGTTAGTCTTGTGATCTACTTTAGTTCATTATTGTCTCCTCAGAACAGCAAGAGTTTGCCAGGGTTTCAGAACAAGAGTTAATCATTTCTATCTAATCCTCTAAAATGAAGTCTCTGAGAACATCCTAAAAAGTCTCACTGAGTTCCATTTGCCTTAAAAAAAGTCTCACTGAGTTCCATTTGTCTTCCTATCATCTAAATACACACAATTGCAATCAGAATTGTACCTTGCAACTCTTGCTGGTTTGGACTGTTGGGAGTTATGATTCAACACCCGGAGAGAACAATTCCTTAGCCGTAGAAACAATTTTTCTTCTGTGACTCAGGGCTAAATTTTTAATCAATAATATTCTACTGAGTCATCAGAGGTTTTAAAAAGAGCAAAAAGAAAACAGAGAAAGGGATAAAGCTCAGTGGTATGGCATGTTTCATGGAGAAAGACTCTATGAAAGCTGTTTGTGGCTCAATGTGATATTATGTTCTGGTAACCAGGAGATTCCTTGGCACTGCTCCCTACCACAGGAAGGAAGGACCCATTAGATTGATCTGCTCCCAGTGACAGATGGACTCAAATTAGTTTCAGAGGGAGGTGGGAGTTGTTCATAATGGGCTTTTGGATGATCTCTAGTGGAGAAGGATGGGCGTACTGCATCCATCATGAATATTTGGTACCTTTTTCAATACCATCAGCCTTAGTATTCATTTGACTCCCTGGGATGTAATATGTTTTCCTGTAGGAAAAGGAGTGGCAGAACCTGAGGAGGTGTTAAAAAAAAAGAGACCAGCCTAGAATCCTTTTGAAGCCATAAACAGACTAAGTACAACCACTTTTGAGTTCTATTTACACTTATCTAACTCCCAGCAGGTGCTAACTATTAGTTGAGAACATTCTTGTTCATAGGCTATTTAGCAATAAATCAGTGTAATTAGAAGTTCACATGTGGATCTGATTTTTTGCACCTGACAGTTTTTCTCTTACCTATGAGGCCATTATCAATCGGTGTTGATTGGGAATGAGATCTCACATTTATCCCATTCTATATGGAGTTTCACAGGATTTTGTACTCTTTCCACTCCTATTTAAAATCTGTATGAAACCATTGGGTAAGATCATCCATCACCCTGGAATGTGGTATCATCAGTATGCTGATTATACTCAATTGTGCATTGGTGCTGTTGATATTCTGACTCAGTGCCTGGAGTCTGTGGGAATCTGGATAGGGATTCTGGATCTGGGATCTGAATTCTGACAAGCTTTGGGTTCTAGGACCTTCTGGATCTAGGATTTTACCATTTTTGATACTAAACAGGTGGTGGCACTTCTCCAAACAGACCCACTGCATAATCTGAGATTCCTTCTGTACTCCCTGTCAAGCCCGAAATTGACATTTTATTTAGCTGTATATTTTAATCATATATTCCTTTTCTTTCTTTCTCTTTACTAGTGTAAGAGGGGAGGGTTTGGGACTTGCCACATTCTTAAGGTGAGAGGTGGTTAGATAGTGGAGATTGTTTTGGCTAGGTGACTTTCTTTACCGTGGGAACAGAGGCTATCCCTGCTGAGACCTGGAGGTGGAATTTGAGGACACCAGGCAGTTAATTTCTTTTTATTGAGAATGTGACATTTATGGGGTGTTTCTGATTTACAATATTATGTGGTGTAATTCCGGTTTGTGTCAGATCCAGAATTACAACAGACTTTGTCAATTTGATGATTACCTAAATAAAAGAAATTTGTTTTGGAAGATGGATTTTCATTTTTCTTTTTCTAAATGGGCTTCATCACTTGGAAACCTCACACCCAACCCTTTTCATGGAGCAGGTGGTAGTCATGATTAGGAGGATCTTTGCAGGCATGTTGTTGCATCTATTGCTGAATCAGGAGGATCTGCTCACAGTTACTCATGCCCTAATTACCTCCCAAATGAATTACTTAATGCTCTCTACATGAGATTGCCCTTGAACAGTATTTAGAACCTTCAATTGGTGCAAAATGTGGCTATGTATGCCCCTAGAATGGCATGCATCACTCTTCTGTTCCATGAGCTGCACTCATTGCCAGTTTGCTTCTGGGTTGAATTTAAGATGTTGGCTTTGACCTTTATGGCCCTATATGTCATAGGGCCAATGTCAAGGGACGCGGTGACTCAGTGGCTGAGACAGTGAGCTTGTCAATCAGAAAGGCCGGCAGTTCGGCGGTTCAAATCCCTAGCACCGCATAAGGGAGTGAGCTCCGATTACTTGTCCCAGCTTCTGCCAACGTAGCAGTTGGAAAGCATGTAAAAATGCAAGTAGAAAAATAGGGACCACTTTGGTGGGAAGGTAACAGCATTCTGTTCGCCTTCAGTGTTTAGTTGTGCTGGCCACATGACCACGGAGACGTCTTCAAACAGCGCTGGCTCTTTGGCTTTGTAACAGAGAGGAGCACCGGCCCCTAGAGTCGGAAAGAGCTAGCACATATGTTCGAGGGGAACCTTTACTTTGATGTCATAGGGCCAGGGTATTTGAGAGACTGCCTCTCCTGAATGACATCTCCCATCAGGTCAAGTAGGAGGAACATGTTACATGTCCCATCCATTAAGGAGTTCCATGTGACAGGATCCAAGAAACGAGCCATTCCTGACCTTTGGAACATTATCCTCTCTGAGGTGAGATTAGCCCCCAACTGTTCTGACCCAAACCTTGTTCCAAGGAAACAAACTCCAAACAGAGGTAAAAGCAAAAACCTTTCAATGCTTCTTCACGAATTCTGTTCATTCACAGTTAAAAGGCTATTAAAACTAATTGTCTCTGATAAGAATGAGCCTTGCCAAGGTTGTGCAAGGCTGCCAAGAACACTAGATTGAATTGCCAAGAAATATTCAAAACAAAAAGTCTCTAAACACAAACAAGGATAGTCCGAACATCCATAAGGCTTGCAGGAACTTCTTTGCTTCCTGCAAAGAATCCCGGTCTCTCAGGCTGGCTTTTACCTCTTGACAGAGGGACCATTACCTTGCAGCCTTACTCCTGAGTCACCCATGGTGCTACAGCTTCTCTTTCCTTCGAGCAACCCTGCACGCATGCTCACTGGGCACAGGCTCCTTGGGGTCCTCTGCATCACCGCTGCCTGCCTCCACGATCTCCAAAGGCCTCATTATCCCTCTCTGATAGTCCTGGCCCCATCCCTGCATCACACGCAGGCCCCTCATCTGAGTCCTCGCTCTCAGAGACCTCAGCCGTCCTCACCAGCTGCCGGCGAATCACAACACCAACCCTACTTAACCTACCAGAAATCTCTCAAAGCATGGTTCTTCTATCAGATCTGGAGATCCCTTGGGAACAAGAAGCCCATGAGACAGCTGTATTATAGGTCTTTGAAACACCTTGTCATGGTCTCAATTACTGTGTATTTTTGTTTAATTGTTTTAATTGTTACTTCAAATGTATTTAATTGTTTGGCTTGTTGCATGCCACCCAGAGTCACATTCATGACATGGTGGGCTACATAAATGGAAGAGAGAGAGAGAGACTTAATCTCTGGCATTTCAAGTTTAAAAAAAAAACCCGAAGGAAGACTGATGAGAAACTCTGTCCCCCACCCAAAAAAGACTTTCTAATCTAATTTTTTTTTTTGTTATATTCCTAAGTTACAAAACAAGTTGCAACCCTCTTTAGTCCATTATTTTTTAGTATATTTAATCCAAAATGAAACATTGTGCCTTGTCTATGAGTTTGCATGTTTTAAGTTCTACAAATAACTCCAAGTTACACTGATGTGACAGAGAGGCCCTGTCTTACAGTTCATGTACTGAGATCTACATCTGACTACCAACAGATCCAGTCACATACAACTGTCAAGCAGCTATCAGATGGCAATGATTTTCTGTCACTAAGAACATGAACTGGATTTGAACCAGTGACCCAGTGCTGAAGGCTTTGTTCCCCATTACCAGTCTCCCAAACCAGCTGTCCACTCACCTGCACAATTAGTGTTCCTTCTAAATAACTGACTCATTTTAACAAGAGGATATAAGATTCCTCTTTAAGCAATTTTACATTAATTAAAAACAACAACAATTTAAACCCCTATGTGTATTAATTGATAAAAAAATTTGCAATTTGATTTGCTGTCTATTTGAAAATTATTCATTTTGAGCACATGTTCCTGCAATATGAGTTCAGACTTATACATTTATAAATTTCCCTGAGGAAATTTCCGCTTTGCGGAAAATATCTGTTTGACCAGGACCGAAAGCTCAGGTGACTGAGAATGCATTCGTTTTAGAGATCTTAAAAATATTTCCACGATTATATGCAAGAATAAAAATAGATTTCTTGATAACTGTATTAATGTAGCTGTTCCAGCTCATTCCATTGTGCTGGAATTGCATCTTATTTTCTGAACAGACTGCTATTTTCCTTGAGAGTACTACAAAATTGATAACACTCCAGGTAAGTTGTATAGATACCTTTAAAAAGATAGTGATGATACAAGATTATTTTAATCATAACTGGTGGCAACAAATTAAGCCAAAAGAGACATATCACCATGCTATAATTTTACATGTAAATGAATCTAACCCCATATGGTATTGTTAGAAAGTCAGCACCCACAAGAATGAAATATTTTGGGAAATATTAAAAAGGCAGAATATTATATTTCCCTAAAAGAAAAATGGAGAAACATGTTCTTGGAGACAGAAAGCAGCCTCCAAGTCTTTCTTAATAGCCCCAGAAGATACTGGGGCCAGCTTTTAGAAATGCAGATTTGGTAATCTATTCAAGACAGGGTATTCTGAAACAAAGGCAGAATGGTAGGATTACAAGCAGCCATCACCCAAGACAACACAGGAAAAAGCAATTAAGTCACAATAGGAATTGCCCAACATCTTTTCAGAACACAATCTCCTTCATTGCATCACCCACAGAAACTTCAACCAAACTTAGCTCAGACAAACACCTGGGGTTTGTACTTTGTCTATAGAGCCAGCTATGACTCCTACATGGCCTCATGGTAATCTTACAACAGCCAATAGAAGACATGTTCTTGCACAGGAACAGGAAGCTCAGGTGCAAAGCCCAAAAGAAGGTATAAAAAAAACCCTACTCTCAACTCCATGTGATCAGTTGCACCAGAATGATGTGCTTGGTGGTTCTGTTCATTAAACCATTTTTCCAGTTGGCCCCCATGTTTCCAGTGTCTTTCTTCCAGGTGGGAACTGAACCAGATGGATATTTCTTCCCACAGTATTAATAAATCAATTAACAGAGCTACTTTGGTCTAGTGGTTAAGGCATCAGGCTAGAAAGTGAGTTATAGTCCCACCTTAGCCACAAAAGCCATCTGGGTGACCTTGGGCCGGTCACTCTATCTCAGCCCAATTCACCTCACAGGGTTGCTATTGAAGAGAAAACAGTTGTATACGTTCGCTGCTTTGAGTTAATTATAAAAATAATAAAGGCAAAATACAGAGAAGTAAAATTATTAGGCATTTTAAGGAATATCAAGTATGTATCTTATGGTTTTAAAATTTGGCTAATCTAACCAAAAAAAAATGTTTTAAAAGGCTTGACTACTACACTAGAAGTGTACAATGATGGAGGGTGCTAACACATGCTATGATCCTGTGCTACCTTTATTGCTAATTGCTAATTTTGGGGGGAAAATATAAGGTTGAAACATGATTTTGAATTATATACTCCAAATTTGATTTTGAATTATATACTCCAAATTTGAAATATATTAATAAATGAAGAACATTCATTTATTATGCATTACAGTGAAAAACCCAGATTTACAACATGTTAATTCTTTGCTTATAAAGTGGCTCTTTACTGATATAAAATTATTTCAAACTAACAAATAAATTTACTCTTTATTCGTGTTAGAAACTGTTTTTTGTAATATATTCTAATATGGCTTTATCTCTTTTTTCTTTGTTATACCATTTCTCATATAGTAAAACAATCTCTGTATCTATTTTAGATCAATAATTTGACAAATTGGTAATTATTTTTCTAAAACAAAGATTTCTAATTTGTGGCCTAAAAATCTTTCATGATCCATAAGGGAATGACAGCTAGTTCTTGAGGTATTAAATATTTGAAAAGAAAACCCAAATCTTGTAAAACTTTAATGTAACACAAAATTTCAAACCAGAATACTGGCACTTTTCAAAAATATTTTTGTCTAATTTTGTGTAAAAAAAAAAACCTTTTAATGACGTTATACAGGTCTGTGTATGAAAAGAATTGGAAATATTGCTGTAACCTTTTTTTCTACATGAATGGGGTTTGTGAATTGAAAAGGGAATCTGAAGACTTCAATTGCACAAACCACTGTCCTTTCTCTGAATTTCTGCCATTCAACCTATATGCCTGCTAGTAGTAGTAGTAGTAGTAGTAGTAGTAATAATAATAATAATAATAATAATAATAATAATAATAATAATAATAATAATAATAATAATAATA